ATGTTAGGATTTATTTTTAGAAACACAAGTAGTTTTACAAATGTAGATGCTTTGCTAACGTTATATTTCGCATATGTCAGAACAAAATTAGAATATGCTTCTGTAGTGTGGGACCCGTACTATAGCATCCATATTATGGCAATCGAACGCATACAACGTAGATTCTGCAAATACTTATATTATGTAAAATATCATACTTATCCTCCACGATCATTCCCTAACAAAATGTTATTAAATGATTTTAATTTGCTGTCGCTCAAAGAAAGAAGGACGTTCGCCAACATTTACTTTTTATTTAAATTAATACATGGGTACACTGTTAGCAAAAACTTACTTATTAGTCAAATAAATTTTCATGTTCCACGATTAAATTGTCGGTATTCAGGCACTTTCATGATAAATTGTAGTAGGACCAACCAACATTATTTTTCGCCATTGAACAACATGTGTCGTTGCTATAATGATGTAGCCCCAATTGTAGATATTTTTGTTACTTCTAGTATTAAGTCTTTTCGTGTTTTGTTGTATAGGAGTGATTAAGTCATAGTTATGTTTTTTTTTTTTCTTTTTAACTCTATTTAGTGTTAGTAATTAATTAATTTGTGAGTTTATATTTATCCTTTTGGACCTTCGTCTGTTGGATAATAAAATTAAGACCCACCACTGACCCGGAAATGACCGGCATTCAGGCAAGACTTCTATCATTACGGGTACTAAGACCAAGTAATGATATGCTTTGATTAGATTAACAGAACAACTTTCGAGATTCTAGAATTACAGCATACAAATTAGTCTGCTATTATTCTCTAATCTCACCCCATCCCCAAAAGTCAAGCGTAACTACCGATCATTTATCCGCGCATCACATGAAAAGTGATTATTATTATTATTATTATTAATATTAATATTATTATTATTTTAAAAACCACCAAAGCAGTTTACATTCCAACAGTAACAACTTTTGAGAAATAAAATTTTTCTCGAATGTAAAAAAAAACCTCTGAAATTTTTAAATACATATTTTTAGATCGAAAAAAAAAAATACGGTAACGATTTTGTAAGCAGTGACTGCTATTTTTAAAGGATAATTAATTGTATTTGTAATTTTGAAAAAAAAAAACTTAAAAATTTAAATATCAATAAAGATCTTACTTTGAATGTAATGTTAACAGGAATTTTAGGATTTTAAAAACAATTAGAGAAGTTTACATTTTAATAGTAACATCTTTTGGGATTTTTTTTCGAATATAAAAAAGCCTCACCTCAGACTTCTGAAATGTTTAAATATTTTTAGATCGAACTAAATAACACGGCAACATTTTTGCAATTAAGCTCCGCCCTCTTGGCTCACGACGAATAAAAAAAATTAACAAAATTGAGAAAGGGCGGGTGGGCGGGGCTTATATTTCAATTTTTTTTTTCTTAATATACACTGCCATCTTTTCACGACAAGAAATTTAAAACATGATTAAAATGGTACATTTTTGCAAGGAAATATGGATTTTGCAATTATGGGGCGGAGCCTAATTGCAAAATTGATATTTCCTTATACAAATTTTCCATTTTAAACATGTTTTAAGGGTCATATCGTGAACAGAAGTCTACACATACTAAAAACAAAAAGGCAAAATGTAAGCCTGCCCACCCACCCAATCTCAATTGTAATAATTTTTTTTATTCGCCGTGAAGCAAGGAGGTGGAGCTTAACTGCAAAATACTTATTTCTTTACAAAAACTTAAAAACATGTTTTTGAGTATCGTGTTGTTCAAAGAGTACAATGTACATTACGAAAAAAAGGCAAAATATAAACCCCGCCCACCCACCCCATCTCAATTGTGATGATTTTTTTATTCCTAGAAACTTAAAACACGTTTAAAATGGTAAATTCTTGTAGACAAATGTGGATCTTGCAATTAAGCCCCGCCCCTCGATCTGACAACGAATGAAAAATTCATCATAGTATTCTTTGAACAACACGATACACAAAAACATATTTTTAATTTCTCGTACAGAAATGAGGATTTTTCAATTAAGCTTCGCTCTCTTGGCTCACGACGAATAAAAAAAATCATCACAATTGAGGTAGGGTGGGTGGGCGGGGCTACATTTTGCCTTTTTTTACTTAGTATTTGCAGACTCATTTCGACAACAAAAAACTTAAAACATGTCTAAAATGGTAAATTTTTCTAGTAATCAACTTAAATTCTCCACTTTCCTTCTACAACCCCTTTAAATAGGGCAAAAGTTGAACATCAAAATTACTATCAACGGCAAGTTTATAAATCCCACGTAAGATCTTGTTTTGAATGTAGTATTAATAGGTATTTTAACATCTTAAAAATATTTTAAAAACCACCAAAGTAGTTTACATTCCAACAGTAACATCTTTTGAGAAATAAAATTTTTCTCGAATGTAAAAAAAAACAATCAGAGAAGTTCACATTCTAATAGTAACATTTTTTTTGGGGATTTTTTTTCGAATATAAAAAAGCCTCACCCCAGACTTCTGAAATTTTTAAATATATTAGATCGAATAAATAACACAAAACATTTTTGCAATTAAGCTCCGCCCCCTTGGCTCACGACGAATAAAAAAAATCATCAGAATTGAAATGGGGCGGGTGGGCGGGCCTTATATTTTGCTTTTTTTTTCTTAATATACATAGCCATCTGTTCACAACAAGAAACTTAAAACATGATTAAAATGGTACATTTTTACAAGGAAATATCGATTTTGCAATTATGGGGCGGAGTCTAATTGCAAAATTGATATTTCCTTATACAAATTTTCCATTTTAAACATGTTTTAAGTGTCATGTTGTGAACAGAAGTCTGCACACACTAAAACAAAAAGGCAAAATATAAGCCCGCCCACCCGCCCAATCTCAATTGTAATGATTTTTTTTATTCACCGTGAACCAAAGGTGTGGAGCTTAACTGCAAAATACTTATTTCTTTACAAAAACTTAAAAACATGTTTTTGAGTATCGTGTTGTCCAAAGAATACTATGCATATTAAGAAAAAAAAAAAGGCAAAATATAAACCCCTCCCACCCACCCCTTCTCAATTGTGATGATGTTTTTATTCCTAGAAACTTAAAACACGTTTAAAATGGTAAATTCTAGTAGACAAATGTGGATCTTGCAATTAAGCCCCGCCCCTCGATCTAACAACGAATGAAAAATTCATCATAGTATTCTTTGAACAACACGATACATATTTTTAATTTCTCGTAGAGAAATAAGGATTTTGCAGTTGAGCTCCGCCTTCTTGGCTCACGACGAATAAAAAAATCATCACAATTGAGATAGGGTGGGTGGGCGAGGCTACATTTTGCCTTTTTTTTACTTAGTATTTGCAGCAACATTTTGCAATTAAGCTCCGCCCTCTTGGCTCACGACGAATAAAAAAAATTAACAGAATTGAGATAGGGCGGGTGGGCGGGGCTTATATTTTGCTTTTTTTTCTTAATATACATAGCCATCTTTTCACAACAAGAAACTTAAAACATGATTAAAATGGTACATTTTTACAAGGAAATATGGATTTTGCAATTATGGGGCGGAGCCTAATTTCAAAATTGATATTTCCTTATACAAATTTTCCATTTTAAACATGTTTTAAGTTTCATGTTGTGAACAGAGGTCTACCCATATTAAAAACAAAAAGGCAAAATGTAAGCCCACCCACCCGCCCTATTTCAATTGTAATATTTTTTTTTATTCGTCGTGAAGCAAGAGGGCGGAGCTTAACTGCAAAATACTTACTTTTTTACAAGAAATTAAAAACATGTTTTTGAGTATCGTGTTCTCCAAAGAATACTAAGTATATGAAGAAAAAAACCGCAAAACATAAAACAACAGTTAGCGAAAAATATTTGGTAAAAACAAGTTTCAAAATAGATTTATTGCATTATTTAATACTAGTTCTTTAATAGTTTTGATTAAATAATATTCTGCTCGTTCTAACGATCTGGTGATGGAAAATTATCACTTATTGCAGGCTATTGAATTTTTTTTTACGGAAACTAACAGAATTCATCTAGGGCTACGATTGAAAATTATACACCCTATGTAATTTTACAAATTTAGAATATTTATAAAAAAATGTTAAGTTTTTGCATTAACAGTTTCCAAGATGTTTGCATTTTTTATAGAAAAAAAAAATCGTAAGACAAACCTTAGCAAATTCTGTATAAAAAGAAACTTTACTTAAAGATGTTAACTGGAAGGTTATAAAATAAAATTTGAACAAACTCACAAACTGTAAATAGTACCACATTTTCAAATGAATTAAAACAAAAATTTTTAGACAGTCGTTAAAATAACTAAAAATATGCAAAATTCCCGGCTTCACTCTTTAAATATGGCGGAATTAAGAATATTTTGTTACATTACGTTTAAATAATGCTACTGAGATATGCTGTGTAGTTGTCATACAAAACAAAACAAAATATTTCGGAAAACTAAGTAAAAATATGCAGTTTTACGAATTTAATTTTTCGAAAAAAATACGCCAAAATCCTCGAAAAGCTTTAAATTATTTGTAAGAGATGCTTTCTGTTAAAAAAAAAATATATATATGTTGGGTACAAGGGTTTTGTATTAACCGTTTCCAAGATATTTGCATATTAAAAATTTAAGCGAAGTTTCAACTTATTTATCTAATTTTTCTCTAAAACGCTTTTTTAATACCAATTTTATTGGAATTTCACTATTAGAATAAAAATCCACAAAATCTGGCACAAAACGAAACTTGTTGTCACTGATTTTAGCGAAAAAAGCGTTAATTTTAAAGCAAACGCCAATTTCGGCGTTCTGAAATTTCAAATTTCGCGCCCAATTACCATTGTCGTTGAAAATAGCAACTGCGCATGCTCAACGACATTTTAGCCACTGCCGTGACATCACGACAGCTGTGTAAAACTGGTTAACTACCACTCCGGTGTAAAACCGCCTTTAACACTACAAACTCAATATTTTAAAGAAAACCACCTACCTTCATTCCATACACCACCTTCAGGAATGTATACGCCATCCCTCCTCCAATAATCATCTCATCGACTTTATCCAGCAAATTATTAATCAACTGAATCTTGTCGGCAACCTTTGCGCCCCCCAGAATCGCCAAGAACGGCTTCTCCGGACAATCCAGCGCCTTCGCAAAGTACTCCAGCTCCTTCTTCAACAAAAACCCAGCAGCCCTCTGGTCGAAGCCCTCCCCCATCATGGAAGAGTGCGCCCGATGGGCCGTCCCGAAAGCGTCGTTCACATACACATCCCCCAGCTTCCTCAAGCTCTGGCGGAACGCCGCCACTTTATCCGCCTCCGCTTTGATTTTCTTGCCACTGGCGTCCACCCCTTTGCCCTCCTCTTCAATGTGGAACCGCAAATTCTCCAGAAGGATGAGCGAGCCGGGTTTGGGGTCGGCGCAGGCTTTCTCGACTTCGGGGCCCACGCAGTCCGTGAGGAACGTGACGTCTCTGCGGACAGAATCGCGTTACGGGGGGTCAACCAGGGGGTAATAAAACAGAAAAAAATAGAACCTTTTAGGCAACAAGTTTTGGTTACTATCACTATCACAAGAGTCAGATTTAGTCAATCTAAAACAAAAGAAAACGGGAACGAAAGCGTTAGCACAGGAAGAGAAGAAGCGAGAGCGGGGGAGGAGTCACCTGTTGATGAGGGTTTTGAGTTCGGCGGCTACGGGGTTGAGGCTGTATTTGGGATTGGGGCTGCCGTTGGGCCGGCCGAGGTGGGACATGAGTACGACGCTCTTGGCGTTCTTGTCGAGGGCGTAGCGGATGGAGTCCAAGGCGGCCACTATGCGCTGGTTGTTGGTGATTTTTCCGTCCTTCAGGGGCACGTTGAAGTCGACGCTGGAAATTTATTTTGAGGGGGTTTTTGAATGAATGGGGGCGCGAACTTACCGCATCAGGACGCGCTTGTTGGCCACTTGAAGGGCGTCGAGGCTTAATTTATTAAATTGCATTTTGATCGGTTTTTAGCGAATTGTGGAAGAAGAGTGATTTGAAGTTGTGTTTTCAACTTCTGCCCTCCAAATGTCAAGTAGAGGTCAGACAGGGTTTATCAAACAATTGAATTCGTTGATAAATTGGCGTGATTTATGGGGGTCAAAGAACGCACTGAAGCGGTGGATAAAATTAGAAGAGTGATTTTCATTTACACGAGCATGATAGTGATTTTTGGGCGCGAAGAACGGTTTTCGAAATTTGGGGACACTTTGAGGACTGCTGGTGTCGAGAGGGGTTCGCGAAAATTCGGGCACGTTCGTTTCAGAGGGAAATTTAATTATTCTCGGACACTAAATAAAGTAGGGTGGGTTACTTCCAAAAAAAGAGCGTTTATTATAACTTTTTAATGTGAAATAGTGATATTTAAGTCAGTGCTTTTATCGAAGATTCTTATTTCTAAAATAGTTCAGATTTAACCTTAACCTAAAAAAATTAACAAACAAAAACACTGTAACATTTGATAACATTTCATTACTTTATTCTTATTTATATAGGGTAAAGTTCATCCACTATTAATACATTAATAATATTATGTCTGTTTTTAAAATGCCAACTCATTTTTCGTTGCTTCAGGAAGTAATTATCTGATATCACGATTTTAATTGAATTTACTTACAATTTATGAACAAATCGCTACGACATCAACAACATCTTCATAAAAAACACGCCTTATTTAGGTAATTAATGTTTCATGAAAATCATGAATCAAGGTTCATCGATAAACAAAGGTCACTTCATAACGCCTATTTTGAACAAGAACTGGCGCGGAGGAGAGGAGGTACGTGACGTCAGACGATAGTGTTATTTCAAAATTTCATAACACCTGGCCTTTTTTCGATGCTACTGGAAAATTTCTGTTTGAGATACAATACAGATAAATAGTCACATCCATTCCAGTCGGAATTATTTTGTACATAATCGCTGTGTAATTAGTCATGTAAATTCGAATTACTAAGAATAAATTGTTGAGTTTTAGCCACGCCGATTTTATTCACCGATCAACGTAACAATATTATATGATATCCAAAAACTTGATAACGCCAAATTTTACAAGATAAATCCTACTTGTTTCTACTTGTGTTTTGTGAATGTATTTTTTTTTAGAATTGCCTATACAGGATGTCAATTAAAAATGACTTATCTAATGTTCCTGAAATTCAAAGCACTCAGCACTATTGTACTTGGACGTCCGTATCATTTCACGGTCACAAACTGTAATAAAACAACTTTATAATCATTTGATCTACAGTCGCGACTAGAAAATCTTGGACGTCATTTTTCTGTCATTTTGAAAATTTTCATGTAATAGTCCACCAAAGTCCGTATATTAGTAAGGATCGTAGTAAGAACTTTAATAATCGTCACTTTGACATGCTCGTAATATCAAAAATAAGAAATTTAAAAAATAGGCTTATAGTACTTAAAGGTGTTTTACCTTTGTGACAGTGGAATGACATTGATGTTCAAGATTTTCTGGCCTCGACCGCACTTATAAATTTGTTATAAACAATAATGTCAAAATATAAATCAATTAAAATTCAAAACCTCAGATCTACAACAAAAATCATTAAATCTACTTAGTGTACAGTAAGTATTTAAAGAAATTAATCTGAGAAATGAATCGATTTGACGTACCGAGGACTATTCATGTTTGCCGTGTTTTGTCATGTTGGCAACATTTTTTAAATTTGATGATGGCATATTTGACTGTCAAATGAACAGATACCGACGTTTCCAAGATGTCACATTACACTTTCAAATACAAATATGTATATGCAACAACTATACTTTGAAAACATTTAAAAGCATTTTACCTAGAGATGTAAAAAACGATTTTTTTTACTTGTGGTGACCGAATTTGAATCAAAATTTCGCGCTGAAAAAATTAACAAAATTTGACAAAAAATTCAGTCAAAAAAGATCGTTGAACATAGGCAACCATGTGCACGTTAACGCTTGTTGGGTAGTTGGTAGCTCGCTAGGGGATTCTAGTTAGAGAGTTGGTAGACAAGTAGTAAGTTAGCTAGGTTAAATTAGTTGGCTTGGTAGCTAATGAAAGGGACGAAACCTTTGTTTAACGACAATTAATCGTAATGACGACAGCATCACCGTTTTCCCCCACACGCGCAGCTAATTCTTGCGGCTTTCTAATCGGAAAAAAGTGCACATTTTCGACGGACGCTACAAGTGCTGTAAATTTGTTTTATTGTTTGTAAATTCACCGATCAGGTTAGGATTTTAATCGTTAACGGTTTCTAACACAATTTAACAGACATTAGATTTGTTTAGACACACACTTGCTTCATGAAATTCACTGAGTCAGGACTCGTATCGAATCACCATCGTGGGGGAGAACAGCCACAACCGGAAGCCCCAAACTCCGCTTGCGCTACAACGCCCCCTATGTTTTTTTTGTGCTCTAGAATGAAATTGACATAGTTCGATCACCCTACTCTTATAGCGCTCTGGTGCTGCTGCCGCTGCATAGTTTTTTTTATTCAAATTTTGTGCTCTTGTTGACTGCCATAATTTTAAAAGTGCCGCCACACGTCTGTAATAACTTGTGTATTTGCAGACAGTTACTTTAATTCAGATTTGTTTTGTTTTTATTAAATTTGTGATGTTCGATTATGACATTTAATAAGAAGGTCTTCAGTGGAGGAATACATAATTTTGTGTCCTCCATATATTTGGTGTTTTATTTACCGATATTTTTCCAATCTTGGGGTCCACCATTTGCATCTGAAAGCATCCCGCCATTTTTCAAAAACACAACGTAGGGTTCCATTTTATTAAACGATCACAGCCAAGGTTAAATTTTGAATTTTTCGCGGGTTTTCAATTTTTTTCCACATGTCAATTTAAGGCGGGATGTTTGGGTTATCACAAACTGTAGGTTTTAAAACACGTTTTTTTCTTGTTCAGTAAAGTTTACAAAGTTTTAATTGACCCATCGATAAAGACAAACCCTTCTTTTGAAAGTTATGCCAATTTTAACAAAAATACAGTTAAATCCATAAGGTTGTAACCACTCGATAAATTGTAAGGTTGGCATTACAGCCAATGGTGTTTTTCACATGAACAGATTGGTAGCGGCGCATATGTCAAAATTTGACAATTACGCACGAGAGAGTTTTATTTAAATATCTCACAGTTTGTTATTAAACCATACCATTGAAAAATGGTACCGACACGGCATATTGTGGTAAATAAGCAGATGAAAATGGCACTTGCCAACTGCCACAATGAATTGAAACTTGCTTATCCCCAAGCATCCTCCCGAGAACTTGAATTCAAGCTTGTAAAAATCTTTTCAGTATGTAGTTATTCTTATACCATGGAAAGAGAGTACTATACTATGAGAGTAACGTATCGACATTCGGAACTTTTTTCATGTTATTACAACATGGTGGTATGTCGAAGGACTTTTAGTTTTAACTATCTCAAGTTGAAAGTGTATATCTCGCTTTTTAGTACAACATTGTCTTTTCAAGTTTTATACCCACTCTTTATATCCTACACAATACAACTAAATGTCCCTCATTAAATTCAAGCACTGCATACTTTCCCTGTAAACTTATCATTAATTCCTATCCTTTCCATAGTGTTCTCGATGTCAAGCCCACAAAATTATAACCCAACACCAATCTGGAGAACCGTTACAAGAAGCAAAGTGGAAACCAAAACAAAAATCGCAGTGGTATTCAAATTTGGAATTTAAAGAAGATCTAACCTACCGTATATTTGACAAAAACAAAAAAAATGAGTTTTTTACTCTTCAGGATTTGTTTATTTTTGCGAAAGAACATCCAGAATATACAGCAAGTTTAAATACTTTACGTTGAGTATTAAAATCCATGGGATTCAGATTTAAGAAAGTTAACAACAGAAAAATAATTGCTTTTTGGTTATTTGGTCTATGTGTTCCCAATGTTTCTAACCACTCCTGTAACAGTAAGTTTAAATAAGCCGTCAAATTATTTTCAACATACCTATTATTTTAGCCTCTGAATTTTGTGAAGTTACATTTTGTTCATTATTACCACTAAAATCGTCAGGACGGAGGAGCATAGCCAGACCTATCGCCTTCAACCAAATCCCTTGTACATTTTGTAAATAATAAGTAGTACCAAATATTAGAGTTATTAAACATAACATTAAAGACTTGTTGGTGTCCCATTTTTTTGATGAAAAATTGGTCATCCATTGCAACTAATTAAGGTGATCTACCCATTATAGACAATTTTGGTGTTGCTCGCGAGATTGATCATTTCAGTCGAGAGAGCTGATCCTTCGAGTCATAGTTAGCCACACATATAATTATCACGTATACTCATGTACAATAATTTAAACAAATTCTGAATATCTCAGTTATTCCCCATCTGTAAAGTAATTTTTATGAAGCAGCAACAATAAATAAATCAATTCACCTTGTTTTTTTACCAGCCCAATATTTGATTTCATTCGTGACCACAATATTTTTGGGTTCATTTTATCGTAATTCGTAAACGTATCGACTGCAAGTCTAAATTACAGCAGGTGGCATTCTTTCTACAGATGAAAGATAAAACACGTTTCTATTTATCGTTGCTCTTGTATTATAATTACCATGAAGACTCAGGTTATCCTGTTTTTATTGAAAATTGTTTATCAGTTTTTACAATATTGCGACAAGTTACAATGATAATTATGAAATAACCTGTGCAGGAGTGCAAGAATTGCAGTGAAGTCGAACGTAATCATGTGTCGCGAATACATGAATGAACTAATCATGTGTCGCGAATACATGAATGAACTGACATTATATTGACAGGTCACCAAATATGTCACCAGGTTATTAAAAGACAGATTTACACTGAATAATTTTTAAAAATTTACACTAGGGAGTGGTTACAACCTTATGGATTTGAGTTTAGTTAAAACTGTAATTGGAAAAAGCAAAAATACGTCAATTTTATAATGGCACCATTTGTTAACGGCCTATAGAACCTACCTGTGAAATGTTTCATAACCTAACTTTAAGATGGGAGGGAAATCATATCATCAATACATACATATTACGTATTACAAATAGACGATAACTTATTTATTAATTGTATGTTATTAGAAAAAAACAAAAATTCATAAAAACTTACGGGAATAAAAGAAAGAAAATTTAAAGTTGTTTAAAAACAACAAAAAAAACCTTCCTATGTTTTAAGACAAAAAAACATGTTTTAAAACCAATAAAACAAACGGTTTTTTTACACTTACATCACTAATTATACCGTATGATTTTTTAAATTAAACATAAGACGAGTTGGCAGCCAGCTTTCTCCAAAATCCAGCAGGAATTCTGGCACAGATTCCTGTTGGAAGATTTTCGCTACTACCGGAGCAGCACGACCGAATTTAGAAAGTAATTTATTAAGTTATGCAACCGAATATACATTTTGTATTGTTCTAATTTTGTCCAAAGCCCAAAATTAACAGATTACAAACAAAACAAACCGATAAGTATGTTGACGTGAGTAAGAGAAGAAAATTCTTTAAATTGTCAACACATTTCAAAGGAAAAACAAAAAAAAATCGTTTTAAGTGGAGTATAAATTAGTATGAGAGCAAAAGACTATTAAATTTAAGTCTTTTTTTCCTTTTCTGCAGTTGTAAATATTCTCTGTATATTTGTTTTCAATCTCTTGATGTAGGGCGTCATCTGCCTAGTGTATGTTTGGTTGCATAAACCTGATTTGGTATCTTACAGAAGAGAGAAATAGCTAGACTGGTTATGCGTAAGTGGGGAAAGGATAGCTGACTGAGTGGTAAGAAACGCTTCATTTCAACGGTAATTAATACGTTTTCTTATGAATTACAAACATCTTTTAATGAAAACTGGTTTTGACAAGTTTTATGGGCGAAAGAAGTCCTGTCTAACTAATCTTAGACCGATTTTTTTAATTGGTCGACCAAATCATCCAAAGATTTTACTTTTTTAATTAAACGATGTTGTTTAACCCTCAAAGTTTTAATTGTGGTCCGATATTTGCTAATTTGGTTTCTTGCGATGTGCCATAATTTCTTAGCCTCACTAGTTTTCAAATTAGCTAGTTTATAGTCGCCGAAGTAAACAGGTTCGCGTTCGTTTCTATAACCAACAATTTAAATAATTAATTAAGAAAATTTTTATACGCATTTTTTACCGTTTAAATTTCTTTAACTCCTGTGCTTCTTCTAAAGGTGATCTTTTTAATAATGTTTGGGGAATCGGCTGAGGACATAATTCTACTGTTTCTTGTGTATTAGAAACACAATCTTCAATCTGTTTATTGGTATCTTCAGACACGCTAAAAAATAAAAATATTACCAAATAGGTTCTTATTCGTGAAAGTAAAACACACGTGTGTTTAATAAGTACCTTGTTGAAAGTAAACGTCTTCGCTTAGGTATTCTTCTATTTTCTTCTAATTCTAATGTTTCTTGTGTACTAGAAACACAATCTTCAGTCTGTTTATTGGTATCTTCAGACACACTAAAAAATTAAAATATTACCGAATAGGTTTTTATTCATGACAGTAACACACACAAGTGTGTTTAAGTTAGTACCTTGTTGAAAGTAAACGTCTTCGCTTAAGTATTCTTCTATTTTTTTCATTTTTGCACGAATGTGCGGGAAAATTAAAGACGCTTGGAATTGCATCTTTTTTCAGTTGTCGTTTACCAAATTGGATTATGTAATCTGATTCTCGAAAGTGTTTTCCACAAATACGGGTATTTTCATTGGGTGTAAAATCCCCTCTTTTTATAGCACTAATCCATTTTTGGCGTAATTCGGGATGTTTGGGGAATCTAACAAAATTTTTTAATTATGCGAAATCATTTGTCTGTATATTGTAGTTGGACAACCTATACGGAGAATCACTCTCCCATGTAGGAAAGAATGTACATATATTTTACATCTCACATTGAAAAATTTTAAAAAACTAAAAAATCCAAATTGGACTGAAAACTTGAGAAATCGAAAAACCTACAATTTTAAAAATTGAAAAGTTAGAATATCGAAAAGTCGAGAAATCTAAAAATCCAGAATTCGAAAAGTCGAAATACTAAAAATTCTCAAAACTCAAATATCGAAAAATTGAAGAATCGAAAAACTGAAAAATCCCAAAATTGAACGAAATATCCAAAAATTAGGAAATTAAAAATTGAGAAACCGAAAAGTCAAAAAAGTAAAGTCCAAAAATTGCAAACTTAGAAAATCGAAAAATTGAAAAATCAAAAACCTGAAAAATCCAAACATTGAAAAACAGGAAGATTGAAACTTTGGGAAGTAGAGAAATGAGAAAATAAAAAATAGATTAATTCAGAAATCCGAAAACTGAAAATTCAGAAACGTCAAAATTTGATAAATTAAAAAATATTGAAGAACTGAAAAATCGAAAAATAGAGAAATCTAAACATCAAAAAATCAAAAAAGTAAAAATTCGAAAATCTAAAATTTAAAAATTGAAAAACTGAAAAATCAACGAATCGAGACATTGAATCTCAAAAAATTGAAAAATTGAAAATTAAAAAATTCGGAAAATTAAAAAATTAAAATATGGAAAAGTTGAAAATTTGAGAAATTGGAATATAAAACAATCGAAAAATTGAAAAATCTAAAGGTTAAAAAACGAAAAACTGAAAATCCAAAAATAAAAACTCGAAAAATCCAGAAGTCGAAAAATCTAAAAGTCAAAATATTGAAAAATCTCAAAATTGAAAGAAATATCCAAAACTGAAATGGCGAAAAGTTCGGAAATCTAAAAATTAAAAAATCGAAATTTCTAAAATCGAAAAAAGGAAAAATCGAAAAGCGGAAGCGTCAGAAAATTGAAAAACCGGGAAATCTAAAAATTGAAAATTGAAAAATTTTTAAAATCGAACAATCGAAAATTGGAAATCTCAATAAACCCAGAAATCGAAATTTTGAAAAATCGAAAAATTCAAAAATCTAAAACCAAGAAGCCGAAAAGCCGAAAGATCGAGAAATAAACAATAATTGAAAAATCTTAAACCGAGAAATCGAAAAACCGAAAGATCCGAGAAATAAACAATTGAAAAATCTTAATACTTAAAAACTCGAAAAATTGAAAAATAAAAAAAGTAAAAAATCGAGAAAGCGAAAATCTAAAAGTCGAAAAACTGAAGAATCGAAGAATTAAAAAATCCCAATATTACTCGTAAATATCGAAAAATCAAGAAATAAAAACTTGAAATATCGACAAATCGAAAAGTCGAAAAACCGAAAATTTAAAAAATCGAAAAAGTTAAAAATCAAAAACCTAAATTCGAAAAATTGAAAAATCGAAAAAGTGGAAACGTTGAAAAACCGAGAAATCTAAAAATGGTAAAATTTTAAAAATCGAACAATCGAAAAATCAAATCGAAAATTCGAGATCTCAAATCCAAAAATTAAAATTTTTAAAAATTGAAAAATCAAATACATATGTAATTAAAAAATCTAAAACCAAGAACCCGAAAAACCGAAAGATCGAGAAATAAACAATAAATGAAAAATCTGATAGTTAAAAATTCGAAAAGTTGAAAAATAAAAAAGTCAAAAATTGAGAAATCGAAAATCGAAATGCCAAAAATTCGAATAAAAATTAAAGAATCGAAAAATTAAAAGATCCCAAAATTAAATATCGGAAAATAGAGAAATAAAAACTTGAAAAATATAAAAATGGACAAATCGAAAAGTCGAAAAACCAAAAATTTTAAAAATCGAAGAAGTGAAAAATCGAAAAATCGAGGAATCAAAAGATCGAAAAGACTATTAATCTAGAAATTAAAAAGTTAATTCATGGATTAATTGAGAGTAAAATTGGGAAGCCTAAAAATTAAAAAAAAGAGAACTAGAAAATTTTAAAAAACGAAAAATTGAAGAATCGAAAAACTGAAAAATATCTAAAATTGAAAAATTGAAAAATCGGAAAGCGAAAAAGTCGAAAAATCGAAAAACCGAGAATCTGAAAATAAAAAAATTAAATTAGAAAATCGATAAATCCAACAATCGAAAAATTGAAAAATCAAATCGGAAACTTGAGCAATCGAAAAGTCGAAATCTCGATAAACCCAGAAGTTTTGAAAAACTAAAAAATCGAAAAATCCAACAATCTAAAATCGCGACGCCGAAGAATCGAAACAACGTAAAATTCAAAAACTGAGACATGGAGAAGTCGAAAAATCAAAAGATCGAAAAATCGAGGAGTCGAAAAGTTGAGAAGTCGAAAAATTGAGTAATCGAAATAGGCCAAAATCGAAAAATCGAAAAGCTAAAAATGGAAAAATTGATAAATCGAGATCTCAAAAAATTGAAAAATCGAAAATTTAAAAATTCGGAAAATTAAAAAATTAAAATGTGGAAAAGTTGAAAAATTGAGAAGTTGAAATATAAAACAAGCGAAAAATTGAAAAATCTACAGTTTAAAAAAAACTGAAAATCCAAAAATAAAAACTCGAAAAATCCAGAAGACGAAAAATCGGAAAATCGAAGAATCGAAATATTGAAAAATAAAAACATCGAAAAATATAAATGTCGAAAAGTCAAAAAATCGAGAAATTGAAAAGTTAATTCATGGATTGGGATCTCGGGAAATCGAAATTTTGGAAATGCCAAAAACTGAAAAATTGTAAAACTGAAACATCGCAAAATTCAGAAACCTAAAAATTAAAAAAAAAACGAGAGCTAGGAAATTTTAAAAAACAAAAAATTGAAGAATCGAAAAACTGAAAAATCGATAAATTGAAATATCCCAAAACTGAAATAGTGAAAGGATGGGAAATCGAAAAACTGAAAATTTTCTAAAATTGGAAAATCTAAAAATCGAAAAGCGGAAAAGTTGGAAAAATCGAAAAACCCAGAAATCTAAAACTAAAAATTGAAAAATTAAATCGAAAAATCGAAATCTCAATAAATCCAGAAATCGAGATTTTTAAAAATTGAAAAATCGAAAAATTAAAAAATCTAAAACCGGGAAATCGAAAAACCGAAAGATCCGAGAAATAAACAAATGAGAAATCTTAATAAAACTTAAAAACTCGAAAAATTGAAAAATAAAAAGTACAAAATTGAGAAATCAAAAATCTAAAAGTCGAAAAATTGAAGAATCGAAGAATTAGAAAATCCCAATATTACTCGTAAATATCGAAAAATCAAGAAATAAAAACCTGAAAAATCGACAAATCGAAAAGTCGAAAAACCGAAAATTTAAAAAATCGAAAAAGTTAAAAATCAAAAACCTAAATTCGAAAAATTGAAAAATCGCGAAAGCGAAAGATCGAAAAGTGGATAAATCAACAAATGGGAAATACAAAAGATCGAATAAAATCAAAAATCGAAAAATCTAAATTTCCAAATGTCAAAATATCGAGAAAATGAAAAGTTGATTCATCGATTAATTGAGAAATCGAAATTTTGGAAACGCCAAAAATTGAAAAATCAAATCGAAAAATTGGGCAATCGAAAATTCGAAATCTCAATAAATCCAGAAATAGAGAGATTTTTAAAAATTGGAAAATCGAAAAATTAAAAAATCTAAAACCGGGAAATCGAAAAACCGAAATATCCGAGAAATAAACAATTGAGAAATCTTAATAAGACTTAAAAACTCGAAAAATTGAAAAATCGAGAAATCGAAAGATCGAAAAGTGGATAAATCAACAAACGAGAAAAACAAAAGATAGAAGAAATCAAAAATCGAAAAATTTAAATGTCGAAATCTTGGAAACGCCAAAAATTCAAAAATTGTAAAATCGAAACGTCGGAAAATGAGTAACCTAAAATTAAATAAAATCGAGAAATCGACAATTTTAAAAATCGAAAAATTGAAGAATCCAAAAACTACAAAATCGATAAATTGAGAAATGCCAAAACTGAAATGGCGAAAAGTTGAGAAATCTAAAAATTAAAAAATCGAAATATCTAAAATCGGAAAAACCAAAAATCGAAAAGCGGAAACGTCGGATAATCGAAAAACCGAGAAATGTAAAAATCAAAAATTGAAAAATTTTAGAAATCGAACAATCGAAAAATCAAATCGAAAATTCGAGATCTCAATAAATCCAGAAATTAAAATTTTGAAAAATTGAAAAATCAAATAATCCAAAAATCTAAAACTAAGAAGCCGAAAAACCGAAAGATCGAGAAATCGAGAAATCAAAAGATCGAAAAGACTATTAAAATCAAAAAATTGAAAAATTTAAATGTCGAAAAGTCAAAAAATCCAGAAATTGAAAAGTTAATGCATGGATTAATAGAGAGTAAAATTGAGAAACCTAAAAATTTAAAAAAAGAGAACTAGAAAATTTTAAAAAAGGGAAAAATTGAAGAATCGAAAAACTGAAAAATATCTAAAATTGGAAAATCGAAAAATCGGGAGGCGGAAAAGTCGAAAAACCGAGAAATCTGAAAATAAAAAAAAAATAAAATTTAAAAAATCGATAAATCGAACAATCGAAAAATTAAAAAATCAAAGCGGAAAATTGAACAATCGACAAGTCGAAATCTCGAGAAACCCAGAAGTTTTGAAAAATTAAAAAATCGAAAAATCCAACAATCTAAAATCGAGAAGCCGAAAAACCGAAAGATCGAGAAATAAAAAAATCGAAAAACCGACAAATCAAAAAATCGAAACATCGTAAAATTCAAAAACTGAGCCATCGAGAAGTCGAAAATCAAAAAAATTGAGAAACCGAAATAGGCCAAAATCGAAAAATCGAAAATTTAAAAATTCGGAAACTTGAAAAATTAAAATATGAAAAAGTTGAAAAATTAAGAAATTGAAATATAAAACAAGCGAAAAATTGAAAAATCTAAGGTTTAAAAAAACCGAAAATCCAAAAATAAAAACTCGAAAAATCCAGAAGTCGAAAAATCGAAAAGTCGAAGAATCGAAATACTGAAAAAAAAACTCAAAATTGAACGAAATATCCAAAAATTGAGGAATTAAAAAATTGGAAAATTGAGAAATCGAAAAACCAATAAAGCGAAGTCGAAAAATCGAAAATTCGAACAACTGAAATCGAAACTTTGAGACGTGGGAAAATCAAAAATAGATTAATTGAGAAATGGGAAAACTGAAAATTTAGCAATATTAAAATTTGAAAAATTGAAAAATATGTAGAAATACTGAAGAACTGAAAAATCAAAAAATCGAGAAATCTAAAAATCTAAAATTTAAAATATTGAACAATTAAAATACCGCAAATTGAAGGATCGAGAAATCCAAACATCAAAAAATCAAAAAACAAAAATTCGAAAATTTAAAATCAGAAAATCGACAAATCGGGAATTCGAAACTCCAGAATTTAAAAAATTGAAAAATCCGATAACTAAAAAATCGAAACATTGAAAAATTCAAAAACTGAGACATCGGGAATTCGAAAAATCAGAGGATCGAGAAATTGAGGAGTCGGAAACCAAAAAGAAAAGTTACAAATTGAAAAATTGAAATACATATAGAAGAACTGAAAACTCGAGATATCGAAACAGAATTTAGAATTTTAAAAATTGAAATATTAAAACATCGATAATTTGAAAAATTGAGAAATCCAAGTATAAAACAGTCGAAAAATTGAAAAATCTAAAGTTTAACAATAAATTGAAAATCAAAAAAAATCAAAAATCGACAAATCAAAAAAATCAAAAATCGACAAATAAAAAAAATCCAGCAATCGAAAAGTCGAAAAATCTAAATATTGAAAAATCTCATAACTGAAAGAAATATCCAAAAAATTGAGAAATTAAAAAAAATCGAAAAATTGAAGAATTGAAGAAGTGAAAAATCGAAATTTTAGGAAATCGAGAAGTGGAAAAATAAAAAAAAATACTTCAGAAATCGGAAAACTGAAAATTTAGAAACGTGAAAATTTGAAAAATTGAAAAATCGAAATATTTTATCGCTATATTTTTTAGAATTTTTGGCAATTTTTTCAAAACTAAAATTTTTCAATGCATTTATGAAAATTTCAGCCAATTCTTGACCATTTGACATTTTCTCATAAATTTCGACATCCGGAAGTTAATTTCGGCCTCATTTCTTTTATAGTTTCTACCATTTTTCCAGAATCGGCTACTGAAGTATTGCAATTTTTTTAATTAAAAAAAAATCAAATTTTTTAAATCTCGCTCCGGATGCATTAAACACGCTATGGTTTTCGTAATTAGCACGACGAAATCTATATCCCAGAATTTTTTGGAAACTTTTTCAAAACTAAAATTTTTCAATATCCTTATGAAAATTTCAACGAATTTTTGTGAATTTTCGAAACTTATTATCCAGAATCGCCAGTCGAAGTACTGCAATTTTTGGATTAAAAAAAATATCTTTTCAAATTAAATATTTTTAAATCGTCCTGGGAGCATAAATGCACCATGTTTTCTTATCAGCACTACAAAATAATTATATATTCTACATTTTTTGATTTTTTTTTAAACCAAAATTTGTCAATACATATGAAAATTTAGGCCAAATTTTGACAATTTTCGAAACTTAACCAAAGACATTTTGCCATAAATTTGGACCTCCAGAAGTTAGTTTCGGCCTCATTTTTTCTATATTTCCATCATTTTTTCAGAATCGCCCATTAAGTACATATTACATTTTTTTGGATTTAAAAAAAATACGTTTTCAAACGGAACATTTTTAAATCTCGCCCGGGTGCATAAACACGCCATATTTTTTTGGAATTAGCACAATGAAATCTACATTCCAGAATTTTTTGTGATTTTTTTAGCAACTTTTTCAAAACCAAAATTTTTCAGTGCATTTATGAAAATTTCGACCAATTTTTGACAATTTCCGAAACTTAACCCGAAATTTTCTGGTAAATTTCGACCTCCAGAAGTTCATTTTTTTGGAAACTTTTTGCAAAATAAAATTTTCTTTATCCTTATGAAAATTTCGACGAATTTTCGTCAATTTTCGAAACTTAATTAAACTAAATAAAAAAACATTTCCCCAAATTTTCATAAATCAGAAGTTAATTTTGACCTCATTTCTGCTACACCTTCTATCATTTATCCAGAATCACCAATCGAAGTACTGAAATTTTTTGGATTTAAAAAAATATATGTTTTCAAATTAAATCGTCCTGGGAGCATAAATGCAGCATGTTTTCGTATCAGCACAATAAAATAATTATATACTCTGTATTTTTTTTAAACCAAAATTTGTCAATACATTATGAAAATTTGGGCCAAATTTTGACAATTTTCGAAACTTAACCAAAGACATTTTGTCACAAATTTCGACCTCCAGAAGTTAGTTTCGGCCTCATTTCTTCTATATTTCTATAATTTTTTCAGAATCGCCCACTGAAGTATTACAATTTTTTACGTTTTCAAACGGAACATTTTTAAATCTCGCCCGGGTGCTTAAACCCGCTATATTTTTTGGAATTAACACAAGGAAATCTACATTCCAGAATTCCACAAGTTAATTTCGGCCTCATTTCTTTTATAGTTTCTACCATTTTTTTAGAATCGCCTACTGAAATATTTCAATTTTTTGAATTAAAAAAAAATGACAATTTTCGAAACTTAATCATTAACATATAGTACTATTCGGACTACACTGTCAACTAGTTTTTATTTATTTTTTTGTTTGTTTGGTCTATTTTATTTATTTACATGTTTTTCCATTTTTGTAACTGGTCTAACCGTTAAATAAATAAATCAATCATTAACTAAAAAATATTTTCCCAATTTTCATAGACCAGAAGTTAATTCCGCCCTCATTTCTGCTATAGTTTCTATCATTTTCCAGAATCGCCAATCGAAGTACTGTAATTTTTTGGATTTAAAAAAATTTGTTTTTTCAAATTGAATATTTTTAAATCATCCCGGGAGCATAAATACACCATGTTTTCGGATCAGCACAACAAAATATATATTCCGGGTTTTTTGAAAACGGAACAATGTTAATTATGGATTTATGGATAACCTCTCGTATAAGACCAGAGTGAATGGTGTTTGTTTTTGCTAATGTTTGATAGCGCCATCTGATGTTAAGTAAAATAAACCTAATAATACGTTTGGTAACTGATAACTGTAGTGAAAGCTCACTATTTAGGCGAAGTAAAATTTATATTAGGTTGTCCAACTATAAGATAAGTTACTTAAACAATGCTACCTGTGAAATGACACAAGATTGCTTCCATTTGCACGTTCTGTGCAGTTAAACGCACAACACGATTTCACCATAGTCCGATAAAATATAACCTAAAAACAATACTAATTTAAATAAGTGTAACTTGAGTCTCAAAACGTAATTTTGCAAAAAAAACACCTTAAAACACAATGCGAGAACACGAAAAAGACCTCAAAAACACACTGCCACCCAGTGACCCTGTTGCCACCCAAAAGAAACCTATCTCTGTCCCACTCTCCCACTGTGTTGACAGGTGTCTGTTGACAACGCGCGTCTCTCTCTAAATTATGTACTTCTAAAGTCGCGTTCTTTTCTATAGAACCACTCCCTAGTGTAAATTTTCAAAATTTGTTTGGTGTAAGTGACCTTGACGGGTTTCTGGGGGAAAACATATGTGTCAAAAATTTGACAGGTTAGATGGCCCCATTGTCAATGTAGATATTTTATTTTAACAAATAGATGAACAGAACATACAGTCTGCACGGGATACAGTGCGGCATAACTGAGGGCAACCGAAACGTTCGTGTTGTGCTAGTTTCGATTGCCATGTCAACTACCGCTACCAACCGCGTTCGGCGTAAAGTACTAGATGACAGGGCTACCAACTTGACTTTTTATCGAGTGGTTCCGTAGAAATGACCGCTACTGTATATAATGTTATTTCTCTGCTTTGAATGTTCATACACCAGTTTAATGCATATTTCTGAATCAAAATCGAATTAATAAACCATCATTGTTAAATTAATTAAAAGAAAAAAGATTGTTGGTTATCTTAAAAAAAAACTGTCATTGACGAGAGTTGTCAATTGCCATAGCAACAGAACAACAAATCAGCTTATGCTATGACTTTATGCAATAAACAGTTCAAATAATATCTATAAAATGGGCCAAATACTCCTCAAAGAACTAAAAAACGTGCCTTTCTCAGACGCCCAATCCCTCTTCCTCAAGCAACTACCTCTCCAACCATCCACAGTTCCACAAGTATGTACGTCCCCTCCTAAGCTAAAATCCGTGTTATTCATTACGATACACGTTCCATTAACAAAAAAAAAAATTAAACCAGATAAAAAACCCATCATCAATCACAATTTAATTCCATTCCAAATCGCCTCAATCCTCAATCTGACCTTGCAGTTAATCTAAAGTACAACGTAAACAAAACACAAGTATCTCTTGCGATAATTACTTAAAAATAACTCCAACTGTGACTTTCACCAGTTTTCAGTGCACCTTCAGCCGCAAAATGTCGCGAAAAATCGGAATCGTAGGCAGGTGAGAAAATCTCCAAAACCATTTTCAAAATGTGAGGTTACGAGCCACGTCACTCGCAACATGGCGCCGAATTCAAATATTAATTAATTTTTGAATTTCAGTGGATTAATCGGGCGCTCGTGGGCCATGCTTTTCGCCAGCGTGGGCTACCAGGTGACCATTTACGACATCGAGCCCAAACAAATCGAATCCGCTTTGGTCGACATCGAAGACCAGCTGAAGACTTTGGAGAAGAACGGGCTCCTAAGAGGAAAACTCAACGCCCAAGAACAATTTGCATGCGTTAAAGGTGCGTAAATCACAGCCGATTACATAAGTCTTATCGCACGAGTAAATAAAACTGTTATCAACAAATGGAATTTTTAGGAACGACGAAGTTGGAAGAAGCAGTCAAGGATGCACTTTTCATCCAGGAGTGCGTTCCAGAAAATCTGGAACTCAAGAGAAAGGTCTGGAAAGGCGTGGATGACATCGCCGGCCCCACGACGATTTTCTCGAGCTCTACGTCCACTTTCTTGCCGTCTTTGTTTTCAGACCACTTGAAAAACAAGTCAGTTTTGATTGGGTGGTGATCAATGACACTAATGTGGTTATTTTAGGAAAAATATTGTGGTGTCGCACCCGGTTAACCCCCCTTACTACGTCCCCCTGGTCGAGATAGTCCCGGCCCCGTGGACCGACCCCGCCGTCACTAAAAAAACCCGTGCCATTATGGAAGAAATCGGGCAGACGCCGGTATCCCTCTCTAAAGAAGTCCCTGGATTCGTCGTCAACCGTCTCCAGTACGCCCTGCTCAACGAAACCTGGAACTTGGTCGCCGACGGGGTTCTAGACGTCAAAGACATCGACAAAGTCATGTCTGACGGCCTAGGCATGCGCTACGCTTTCTTAGGCCCCCTTGAAACCACCCACTTGAACGCAGAGGGTTTCGTCGACTACTGCAACAAGTACTCAAACACGATTTTCTCCGTCAGCAAAGACTTCAAGCCGTTGCAAAAATGGGAGGGCCCCCTTGTGGACGAAATCGCAAAACAACTGGAAGCTGACGTCCCGTTGGAAGAACTACAAAAGCGCAGGATTTGGCGAGACTTAGCTTTAACTAAACTCAGCCAATTGAAAAAGTCGCTGTAGATACGTAATAAACGTTTTTATTTTCAGTTTTCTTATAAACAAATTAAACAGACTCTTGAACTGGCGGTTCGTAGCCTTCAGGTCTGTCTACTTTTGAACCTGCTTCTCCTGGCTCTCCAGCTCCTCCCTTACCTCCGTCACCGTGCAACTCCAGGAGTTTGGAAAGCTCGAAACGGGGCTTCTTCAATACTTTCACTTTGCGAATGTACACGTCGTGGAGGGGGTAGATCCCCTGGCAGGCTTTCTCAATGTCTTTCGCGATGGAATCGGGGAGAAGTTTATTCACGACTTCTTTTAAGTCACTCCCGGTGATGTCCCGGGTGATGATTTCAACCATCTTCTTGCGAATTCCGCGGACCTAAAAAATCGTGATTTTGAGTATTTTTCAACTACGAAATTGCGACTAAAAAAACGAAAAAGTTCAGATGTGAGATTTTTAGGGAACAAAGTCTCATCATGGCTTGTCAATGCGAGCTGAGTAGTCTCATCACGTTAATACCAAAAAAACCAAGATTTGTAAAAATTGTAAACCAACCTGCGTGTGTTGAGCGTAGCAAGTTTTCCTCTGCGACAACTGATCTTTGTTTGTAAAACCAATACAAAACACCCTCAACAAGTAACCATCGGTTGTCTTCACGTCAGCGGACGCTTCAATCAAAGTTTGCCACTTTTTCACCATTGATCGAAGTTTGTCGGTGGTCAAATCCATACCGTGGAAATTCGTGAGCACATTCCTACCTACAACCACGAAATTAACACGTGCACTTCACTCAAACCGCGCTTAAATTAACAACGGGTTCAGTTTACAAATTAATAATAGGGAACATGAAGTCTCATCATGTTTGGTCAATGCGAGCTGAGTGTATCATCATTTAAGCACTAAAAAACAACAAAATGGGGGTAAAAGTACCTTGAACGTCCTCTGCAATTAGCCTAAACTTCCTGAACGAGCGCTCAGCGTCGTTATCGTTCTGCAAATCGGCTAGAGACACTTCGAACACTCTAGCCTTGAGACCCTCTGAGGCTATCCTCGTACCTTGCGTACGGTTTACCAGAGTTTTGCCCACTTGCCTCGTGGCAAACATCGAGGGGGCTTTCACATCGTACCAGTCCTTACGGGTGAATGGGTCCACACTGAAACATAACCCCAAATATTAACATGTTCCACAAACAACCACACAAACGACCACGAAATGCATGTATCACCCCATTCGCACGACTAAACGCAAAAACATTACCACTTTCGTTCACAATTTACTAATTAAGGAGTTTGACGGTAGCGGCATGGATTTAAGTTCCGGTTTTTTCCAAACCATCCTCCATCGAAAACGGAAATTATGAATGTGGAACTTCCAGACAAGCTTTAGCAGACACAAATGTTACAAAATTTTAGACTTACATCTTCTTTTTAACTCCTTTTTTGCCTCCTTTGGAAAGGCCCTTGTTTTTCCCAACTGCCATCTTGGACTGCCACAAGAAAAGAGAAGTGACAGACGGCACGCAAGTGCTAGCACAAAAACGACTGAAAAATCACCACATTTGAAACTAAATGAGGGGCGCGCATGCGCGCCTCCAAATGTCAAATTTTATCAATTTAAACACTACTAATAACTAAAATAAACAAAAAGTAATAAGAAAAAGTAAATTGTGAAAGTCTAATTCGTGCATTGTTTTGTAGGTTGTGGTATGGAGCCCCCTGAACCCCCCGACGAGTCCGACTGTTGCAACTCCGGCTGCAATCCCTGCATTTTGGACGTGTATGAAGCGCAGCTACAAAAATACAAAGACAACCTGAAGAAGTCCACCCTGCGCCCCCTGGAAGTCAATTCAATCAGTCCGAGTTCCTACACGATTTTCGTTGTAGTTGCTGTTAGACGGATTTCACCGACTGTGTTGTTATTGAAGTTTGAATATGCAGACACCAAAGATAAAACCCCTAATTGTTTCAAGTATAATTGTGGCCAGTATCTCTTGCTACGGGGGCAAGATGGTGACGGTGAATTCACAAGAGCGTACACCCCCATACCTGTCGAAAACGAAATTAAATTGGGGTTTACCACTCTTGTTAGAGTGTATCCATTTGGCCGGATGTCCAGACTATTGAAAAAGCTACAAGTGGGGGATAAAACGTCCTGGCGGGGGCCTTACGGTGACTTTACTATCAACTACAACTACAAATATTTGTTGTTTATAGCGCAGGGTACAGGAATAGCCCCCGTTTTTTCGGTCATCAGTGAAATTATTAACAATCCAGAGTGTGAAAGTTTTATTAAATTATTTTTTTGTTGTTGTGACTGTGATGATATTCTATTAAGAAACGAATTGTACGACCTGGGGGCTTATTGGAACTTCAGTTGTGAAATATTTTTAAGCAATAGTAACAATTTAGTTAAGAAATATAATGAAGTTGTACATGAGTGTAAACTCACCACTAATATCGTCACTAACTACATTAACGGCAAAAATAACTTACAAACTCTCATCTGCGGCAGCGACAACTTCACCCAATTCTTTAAAAACGAAGTTGAGAAGTTAGTTGAAAGCAATAATGTTTATTTATTTTGAACTAAACTTAAACATGTACATGACACCAAACCGTTGTCATTGGTTGTGTCCCAATTATTCTATTTTGATACAATAGAAAGTTTATATGTTAAAAATTGTTAAGTAAACTTAAACTAAACCCTAACGCTGTTATTTTCTCAATCAGTGTGGCCCGCTGCCTGCCGCAGCAGTATGTATATTTTCTCCTTTATCCAGTCCTTGTTATACGGGGCGTACGTATTGGTCGATTTCTGATACACAAGACAACTTAAATCAGACAACTGAAACAACAACATTAAGAGTGGTCACAGCGTAAAAATCACCTACTTGGTCGACAAAATCAAACAATTGTGATATATCGTATGTGATTGTGGGAGTATTTGGGTTCCTTCGTTTCAAGTGTTCTTCGTAGATTTTACAAACACCCTCCATACACTCATTGACTGATTCGTAGTCAGAGTAAGTCCGAGTTTCGGGGTTGGCCCCCGGCTGCACTAGTAAGATCGTGTGTGCCTGAAACCACAACAATGACTCACTTAAATCACAAATTACTAAAATACCCACCATTGCTACGTATTATAGTCACAAATTAAACATCAAGTTGCCACCAAACACAAAAATTGAGGTTATGGTGTGAAACTCTAGAAGCCCATGCTGCCAACTTAAACCGGAACCGATTTTCGGTAAAGAAATAATTGAATTTTGACTTGGAGTTAATTAAAGACGAGTTTAGTTTCCAAACTGTGTCTAAACCGCTGCGAGATAATTTTTTCCACTTTTAATAATTTAATAAAAAACCGTTTAGGTACAACAACAAATTCCCTAAAGTCACTAATGTTACTAAATACATAACCTCAAACCATTTGTTTTCGTGTTTAGAATTAATTAAATAATCACAAAGATGGGTTCGGAGCACTCAACCCATGTTCATTCTAGTCATCGCACGGCAAGTTTAAACCATGACCCGAAGCAATCATCTAATATTCGTCGACAACACACTATTGCGAATCCTGGAGGGGGCGCGGATCACCCCGAATTGTACGACAACGGGCGCCCGGGGTCCATTTCACCGGGACCCAGTGTCTGCAGCGACACCGACTTGCCCTACATCAGCTACACAGTGAATAGGCCAATCGGAGGTGCTAACTCATTTATTGCCACTGTCTTTGTTAAAATACGCGTTTCAGATTCCCCCAAGTTAACCAATCGACAAATCGTCAAAACCAAACGGAAAATTCCAACCAAACAAACTAAGAAGTCTGCGCATAACATCGTGGTGGTGAAACCGGCAGCCACCGGTCCCAATCTTGACAGAGACCCTGATATTATGCGCTTGCAGAGTATTCCGATGTTCTTGCCTATAATGCGGGCCACTTTGAACCTGCCGGCCGCTCGCGACCCCGAGGTTCTAGAGCGCTTGGACCCGGCCCCCTTGCACAAGTTGTGTGTGAAGTATCAAACCCATCTGACCGCTTGTGCGAATTTCGTGGCGACCGAGCAAAACCAGCTGACTCAGAAGGTTCGTGAGACCGATAACGAAATCGGGAAGATCATAAGCGCCGCGACTGATAAACAAAAAAAGTTTGCTAAGTACGCCGAAAAGCTGGCTAAAGTGCAGGAGCTGTCGCACCAGCTGAATCGGTGCCACATGTTGTTGAACCAAACTCTCGAGTCCATGGAGACTCTGAACAATTATCTGGACATCGAAGACAGGCTGGAGCCTTTCGTGTGGACGACTGGATGATAAATCGCCTTGACAAGAATGACAGGCGAGATGACAGGTGACAAATAGTGATCTCATTTGTTTTTATTTATGGTTGCTTGATGTAAGAATAAAGTGTTTAAAGGAGGGGCGAGTTTGGATTTGAGCGGGGTGTAAATGGGGGCAATGAGTAAATTGGCGATAAATAAGCTTATAAGGCGAGAAAAATTGCAGTTGTTCAAGGTCGTCCGTATGAGCCATATGCCGGTGACGTCACCGCAAGATGGCCGCCACCCAAAATGGTCGATTCGTCCTCTTTTTTAATTTTTTAACTCGAATTTGAGATTATTTTCGAAAAGTGGTGCCGGTGCCGTCTTCGAAATTACGTTCGCGCGCGTTTCCGTTTCCGTGTGCTGCGTTCCCGCCGATTTTTTCCGTTCCTGGTCCGAAGGTGCCCCAAAAGGATTTCGCCCCCTTGGAAAGCGCCGATCTGTACACTAGGTAGCTAGGGTCTAAAAATAAGTTAATGACTTTTTATTTTACACTCTTGACATATTTTAGAAATTTTGAGTTATTTTTGTAACGGATTAAATTTAGTTGAGCACATTCACTGACCGTCGTACTTTCTTTCCAGATACAGACTAAATGAGTGCTTATTTTGAATGTTATCGGCGGGTTGAGTGATAAGAAGTTGTGATAAGACGATCAGGGAAAATGCCAGTTTTATCTCCTCGACAGAGCAGTGCTTCTGCTTTGACCGGATCGTACAGGTCCACGTTCAGTTCATCTACCATTGACAGGCCTTACTTCAGTTCAACGAGCTACAGTCCGAGAATTACGAGCTTTAGTGAGAGATACACCACTAGGACCTATTCGGATTCAGATGGAAGGCGCATCTTCTCGAGGTTAGGCAGGTTTTAAGAACACGATTTTATCACTGAAGTGACGAGATTAAGCCAAATTGATTGATTGACGTCAAAGTCAGGTTACCGAGATTTTCAGGGATTTCCGGGTCTTATTATAGCAAAAAAATAATAGCGTCGCGGTGACAGTAGATGTTTTTTTTTTAAATGGGGTTTTCGCCAAAAAAGAACACTTATTTACAGATGCAAGGACTCGTAAATTTACAGAATCCTTTAAGTGTACAGAGGTATTTCAAGTTCCAAAAATATTGTTGGCTTCATGCATTACATTATTTAAATATTTTCCACTTTTAACACATGTTGTTTTTTTTTCAAATCATGGGTGGAATTGACAAACAAAAATCAAGAATTATTTTTTTAAAATCAGTTTTGGACTACTTGCAAAATTTTGAAATATTAAAACAATGAAATTTTTGTAATTTTCCTATGTATTTGAGGTGATTTTGAGAAAACACTAAAGTAGCCATATCTATAAGTATCTGTTAGTTACTTATCACTTATAACATTAATATTATGTCACATTTTTGTTTGAAAGGTGCGGTTGTTCTGGTGAAACAATTTAATAGATAAGTTTTATTGACAATTTGAGGGTCATTTAATTTCAATAAAGTTTGTAAAAAATTAATGTGAAATAGTAAGGAAAGTAAAAAAAAAAGTTTTAAAAAAATCATTAATGAAAATGTTTTAAGTTTTATAGACAATGAGTCATGGGAGTAAAGTTCAGCAGATGTGTTTATCATAGTTGTGTTCCTTTCTTTCTAATAATATAGGTATGTCGTGTCTCTTTCTAATGCCGGTGAAAGCATTTTTTATTTTACGGCTTATTCACGTCACTTGGTGCCTCATTTATTTTTTATGTTTACTGTATCTAAGTCACGTTTACTTTACTTGTACCTAGTAATTTATTTCATTTTTATTTATTTATATTTTTTACAAAGGAATGTATTTAATCTGATTTTTTTCTCTCTTTTTAAATATCTAATAAACAGGATTCCAGGTCGATGACGTATCTCTGACGTCATTGACCAAAAAATTTGCATAAGCGGTATACACTAAAAATCTATTTGGAGCAGGCGATGAAAATGACATTTAACAACAAAATAATGTTAGGTTAGGAAACATTTTCTCGTTTTAATTAATAAATAATTACAATTTATAATTTGCGTTAATTAATTAGTGATAATTATATTTTGTTCGGCACAAACTCCACACGTTAGACTAGTTCGTAGGCTTGTACACGTCCAGAGGTACATTTTTATTTTGGCGCGTAGTTTTGACACACACCCATAATCTTAGACTATTTTTCAGACCACTGCTTCTGTCAGATTACAGCAGTCCAACGTTGCCGGTTGTACTTTCAAGGTAAAGTGCAGTGTTTTGGTGATTTTTTGATATTGGCGTGAACTATTGTTATAGTTCCGCCTTTTTTTTTTTTTGAAATAACCGAGTTACAAACAATTTTTTGACAGTGACTTTTAACAACTGTGTTTTCAGATATACTTTATTGAAGTTGTCTGAATTTTTTAAAGGTGTGTGATCGTCAGGTGTCGTTTTTTTGAAAATAGCAATATGTGTTTAATTTGCCATCAAATGAGGCAAAATTTGCTTATGTTGACGTTGCGCATGCGCAGAAAATTGCCCTATCCTGTTACCGAATTTCGTTTTTTTTTTTCGAAGTACCGTTTGCATAAAATATGTAAATACTAATGTAATAATAATTTTAGAAATTTCGAAACTGCAGAATTACTCAGATAAAAACATCTAGAGTTTAAGCCAGACAAAGATTTATTATTGTTTGTTTTGTAACGCGAGGTATAATAAGTATATAATAAACTATTTTTTTCTTCTCGACGTTTCATGACCCCTACAATACGAAAAAATAGGTCTCCCGTTTCCGTCTGTCTGTCTGTCTGTCTGTCTGTCTGCGGTCTTCCGTCCGTCTGTGGCATGGTTCTTTACCAATATCTTAAACAACTCAGGGCACTTATTGAAAACGATACATAAGAAAATATTTATCTTCGACCAATTTTTTAGTTTTTTCATTGTCTTTATTTTTTCAATTTTTCCTATTCCAGTGTTTCGGATTAATAATTTTTCGTTTTTTCAACATTTTTTTTATTTTTAAATTTTTTGACTTTTAATTTTTCGTTTCTTCAATTTTTCGATATCCAATTTTTCAAGTTCTTGATTTTTATTTGTCATTCTCCCGTTTTTTCAATTTTTCGTGTTTTCATTTCTTTTATTTTTTCAGTGTTTCTTTCGATTTTATAATTTTTCAAAATTTTAATCGTTGATTTTTCAATTCCTCTATTTTCCAATTTTTGATATTTCAATTTTGCAACTTTTGGTTTGACTCAATTATCCGATTTTCCGATTTCTTTAACGTTCAATATTTTAATTTTACAATATTTCGTTTTTTCGATTTTTCAAAGTTTTCATTGTATATTTTTTCATTTTTGATTTTTCCATTTTACAATTTTTTAATTCGAAAATTTGATAAATCTAACTAAAAATCGAGAACCTTAAAAATTGGAAATATGGAAAACCCAAAGATTTTCGAAAAACTAACATTTCAAAATCGGATAAATTAAAACGTTTTAAAATCCAATAATTGAAAAATGGAAAAATTCTAAAATCGTAAACTTGAAAAGGTGAAAGATTTTAAAAATTGTTATTAAAATGAAAACTAGAAAAATTGCGCATCAAAAATTGAAACAACGAAAGATTAAAAAACCGAAAAATTGCAAATCGAAAAATCAATAGATTGAAAAATTGCACACCCAAAAAAAAAGAAAAATTACAAAATCAGAACATTGAAAAACCGAAAAAGTGAATAAAGAAAATTAAAAATCGAAAGGAAAAACTGCAAATCGAAAATTTGAGGAAACAAAAAATTGAAAAAATAAAGAAAATAAAAAACTGAAGCGAAAATTACAAGTCGAAAAATTGAAAAAAATGAAAAATTGAAAATTGGAAACCCGTGAAATTTTGAAGAAACAAAAAAAAACTGAAAAATTGCAAATCGAAAAAATTGCAAAAATCGAGAAACTGAAAAATCTAAAATTGAAAAAACGAATAATTAAAAAAACGTAAAAAGTTAAAAACCGAAAAATTGCAAATCGAAAAAAGAAAAATTACAAAATCAGAACATTGAAAAACCGAAAAATATAAAAAAATTAAGAAAATAAAAACTGCAACATCCAAAAGTTGGAAAATCGAAAAAATGAAAAATTTAAAAATGAAAACTCGAAGCATTGCAAGTTGTAAAATTGAAGAAACAAAAAAAACTGAAAAATTACAAATCGAAAAATTGAAAAAATTGAAATTGTAAAAACAAAAAATCAAACTCGGAGAGTTGCATTTCCAAGAATTGGAAACAAATTGAAAGCAAACAAAAAAAATGAAAAAAAATCGAAAAATTGTAAAATCTAAAAACTGGAACATTCAAAATTTGGAAAATCGAAACATTTAAAAATAAAACTCGAAAAATTTAAAGAACGAAAAATTGAAAAACTTAAATTGCAAATCGAAAAATTGGAACATCCAAAATTTGGAAAATCGAAAATCTGAAAAATTCAAAAATGAAAACCCGAAGAGTTGCATGTCGTAAAATTGAAGAAATAAAAAAACTGAAAAATTGCAAATCGAAAAACTGAAGAAACGAGAATTTGTAAAACTAAATAAAATAAAAAACCGAGAGGAAAAATTGCAAATCGAAAATTTGAAGAAACAAAAAATTGAAAAATCGAGAAACTGAATATTCCAAAATTGAAAAATTGAAAATTTGCAAATTTAAAATACATAAATTGAAGAATTCACATCGGAAAAAAGAAAAATTTCAACCAAAAAGTTGAAAAAATAAAGAACATAAAAACCGTAATAACGAATATTGCAAAATCTAAAAACAAGAACATTCAAAAGTTGGAAAATAGAAAAACTGAAAAATTTTAAAATGAAAACTCGAAGGGTGGCAAGTCGTAAAATTGAAGAAACAAAAAAACTAAACAATTGCAAATAGAAAAATTGAAGAAACGAAAAATTGAAAAAATTGAAATTGTAAAAACAAAAATTATAAAATTGGAAAATTGTAAAAATAAAGAAAATAAAAAACCAAAAGGAAAAAATTGAATCGAAAAACTGAAAAGTCGAATAAACGAAAAAGTTTCAAAACCCAATAACTTTTAAATGGAAAAAGTCTAAAATCGTAAAAGTGAAAATTCGAAAATTTTAAAAATTATTATTTATCATAATTAGATATTTAAAATGAAAACTAACTAGACAAATTGAAAATCAAAAATTAAAGAAACAAAAAATTGGAATATCATGTCACTGAAAAAACAAATAATGAAAAAAATTAACAGTTGAAAAATGGAAAGGCGAAATATTAAAAAAAAAACGCGAATTATAAAATCGGAACATTTAAAAACCAAAAAAAAAAATTAAAAATCTAAAAGCAAAAACTTTATCATCCAAAATTTAGAAAATGGAAAAACTGGAACAATTAAAAACGAAAACTCGATTTGCTTGTCGCAAAATTGAAGAAACAAAAAAAGTGAAAAACTGAAAAATTGCAAATCGAAAAGTTGTGAAAAATAAAGAAAATAAAACCGAAACGAAAAATTGGAAATCGAAAATCTGTAGAAATGATAAATTAAATATCGAGAAATTGAAAAGTCGAATAAATGAAAAAGTTTTAAAATCCAATAATTGAAAAATATAAATACATATTCTAAAATCGTAAAAATGAAGAGATTTTTTTACCTAATTCAATTGAAAACTAGAAAAATTGCAAAAAAATTGAAGAAACACAAAATTAAAAAATATAGAAGTTGAAAAATCGAAAAATTGTTAAAGTAAAGAAAATAAAAAGCCGAAAGAACCGATTGCAAATCGAAAATTTGAAGAAACGAAAAATTGAAAAATCCAAAAATATTAGAAATTTAAAATGGAGAAATTGAAAAGTCGAATAAATGAGAAAGGTTCAACACCCAATTACTGAAAAATGGAAACAGTCTGAAATCGTAAAATTGAGAAAGTCGAAAATTTTAGAAATAATTATTCATCATTGTTACATATTTAAATGAAAATTAAACACATTGCAAATCAAAAATTGAAAAAACAAAAAATTCAAAAATTGAAAAAAAGAAAATTATGAACTCAGAACATTTAAAAACCAAAAAAATAAAAAATAGAGAAAACCGAAACGAAAAATTACAAGTCAAAAATTGAAGACATGAAAAATTGAAGAACTGATCTAATAATTAAAAAATGGGAAAATTCTAAAATCGTAAACATGACAAGTAGACTTTTTTAAAAATTATTATTACATATTTAAAATGAAAAGTAGAAAAATTGCTAATCAAAAACTGAAGAAACGAAAAATTAAAAATCTAAAAGTTGAAAAACCGAAAAATTGAGAAATTCAAAAATTGAAAGATACAAAAAAAGGAAAATTATAAAATCAGAACAGTGGAAAACCGAAAAATTTAATAAATAAGAAAATAAAAAATCGAACATTGCAAATGAAGACATGAAAATTTGAAAAAACTGAAATTGAAAATACAAAAAAACTAAATCGGAACATTGAAAAATCGAAAAATTGTAAAAATGTATAAACCGAAATGAAAAATAGGAAATCGAAAATTTTAAGAAACAAAAAACTGAAAAAATTTAAATTGAAAAAACAAAAAAAAAATGTAAAAGAAAATGAAAAGCCGAAAGGAAGGATTGGAAATCGAAAATTTGAAGAAAGGAAAAATTGAAGAATTCAAAAATTTTTAAAATTATAAATCTGAATATTGCAAAATCTAAAAAATGAAGCATCTAAAAGTTGGAAAATCGAAAAACTGAAAAAATTAAAAATGAACATTCGAAGAGTTTGGTAAAATTGAAGAAACAGGAGAAAGAAAAATTGAAAAAAATTAAATTGAAAATACAAACAAATATAAAATCGGAACATCGAAAAATTGAAAAGTTAAAAATGAAAACTCAAGAAATTCAAATCGAGAAATTGAAATTGGAAAAACAAAAAGTTATAAAATTGGAACATTGAAAATTGAAAAAATTGTAAAAATAAAGAAAATAAAAAACCCAAAGGAAAACTTGCAAATCGAAATGTTGAAGAAATGAAAAATTGAACATTCGAATAAATGAAAAAGTTTTAAAACCCATCACTGGAAAATGGAAAGTCTGAAATCGTAAAATTGAAAAAGTCGAAAATTTTTTAAATTATTTAACATACTCGAAGTGAAAACAAGACAGATTGCAAACCAAAAACTGAAAAAACGAAAAATTAAAAAAATCATCTGTTGAAAAATTGAAAACGAAAAAATTGCAAATAAAAAATAATTGAAAAATTTCACATTGAAAAAAAAAATTTATATTGGTCAGTAATAATCAATTCAAAGAAGTGGTATACAAGAAAAAAAGAAATGTTATCAAAAGTAACGTCAAGGAGTCAGAGGCTAATCCTAAGAAGTCTGTCGATTTTTTTTCTACCGGCCTCACTCAAAACAAGACTAAACCAATTATCGGCACTTTAAACAACAGAAAACTCTTAAGTGTTCTCAAAAAGTCTACTATCTCTATACATCTAAGTCGCCTTGTCCCTGCCACAACTGAACGAGATATCTTAGATTACCTTGGTACTCTGAACAAGGACGTTTTATGTGAAAAGTTAGCTTCCAAGAAGCCCGATGTTTACTCTTCTTTTAAAATTGAAGTTCCCAGAGATCTTAAAGAAACTCTCCTCTCTCCTAGTTATTGGCCTGAAGGTGTTTTGGTAAATATTTTTTTTCGAAGAAGCACCCAGCAGACCATAAAACCATGACAAGCTCCATTAATTCGTCTCTCTATGCAATTAATTTATTTTAGGAATTTATTTTAGAATGTAAGTTGTGCGTTTCTGTTTATTGCAGTTTATTGTAGTTTTTTCTTTATTTTAATCTGTAATAGCTTTATTGGCGTTAATAAATGCAATTATTATTATTATTATAAACCAAAAAAATTAAAAAATTAAAAAAGTAGGAAGCCGAAACGAAAAAGTACAAATCTAAAAATTGAAACATTGAAAAGTTGGAAAATCGAAAAACTGAAAAATTTAAAATTGAAAACTTGAAGTGTTGTACGTTGTGAAGTTGAGTCGAATAAATGAAAAAGTTTAAAAATCCAATCATTGAAAAATGAAAAAATTCTAAAATCGTAATAATGAAAACAATCTTAAATTATTATTACATATTTAAAATGAAAACTGGAAAAATTGCGAATAAAAAATTGAAGAAACGAAAAATTAAAAAATCTAAAGTTGAAAAAATGAGAAGCAAATCGAAAAATTGAATGATTTTACTTAAAAAAAAGAAAAATCACAACATTGAAAAACTGAAAAATTGAATAAATAAGAAAATAAAAAATTGAAAAATTGCAAAATCTAAAAAAAAAAAATACATCCAAAAGTTGTAAAATCGAAAAACTGAAAATTTTAAAAATGAAATTCGAAGAGTTTGGTAAAATTGAAGAAACAAAAAAGAGAAAAATTGAAAAATTGCAAATCGAAAAGTTGAAGACACGAAACATTGAAAAAAATTCAATTGAAAATACAAACAAATAAAAATCGAAAAATTGAAAAGTTAAGAATGAAAACTTGAAAAGCTCAAATCGAAAAATTCAAAAATTGGGAAATTGAAAAATTTAAAAATCCATTAAAGAAATAAAAAAATTAGAAACTGAAAAATTGCAAACCGAAAAATTGAAATCGGAAAAACAAAAAGTTATAAAATTGGAACATTGAAAATTCGAAAAATGGTAAAAATAAAGACAATAAAAAACCGAAAGGAAAACTTGCAAATCGAAATTTTGAAGAAATGAAAAATTGAACATTCGAATAAATGAAAACCTTTTAAAACCCATTCACTAGAAAATGGAAAGTCTGAAATCGTAAAATTGAAAAAGTCGAAAATTTTTTAAATTATTGAACATATTCGAAGTGAAAACTAGACAGATTGCAAACCAAAAATTGAGAAAATGAAAAATTAAAATATCTAAGAATTGACACACTGGAAAACCGAAAAATAATAGAAAAGTTGCAAAATCTAAAAAATGAAACATCTAAAAGTTGGAAAATCGAAAAACTGAAAAAATTAAAAATGAACATTCGAAGAGTTTGGTAAAATTGAAGAAACAGGAGAGAGAAAAATTGAAAAAAATTAAATTGAAAATACAAACAAAAATAAAATTGGAACATTGAAAATTCGAAAAATTGTAAAAATAAAGACAATAAAAAACCGAAAGGAAAACTTGCAAATCGAAATTTTGAAGAAATGAAAAATTGAACATTCGAATAAATGAAAACCTTTTAAAACCCGTTCACTAGAAAATGGAAAGTCTGAAATCGTAAAATTGAAAAAGTCGAAAATTTTTGAAATTATTGAACATATTCGAAGTGAAAACTAGACAGATTGCAAACCAAAAATTGAGAAAATGAAAAATTAAAATATCTAAGAATTGACACACTGGAAAACCGAAAAATAATAGAAAAATCCAAAAACTGAAAAAATTCACATTGAAAAGAGGAAAATCATAAAATCAGAACATTTAAAAACTAAAAAAATTTAAACAGTAAAGAAAATAGAAAGCTAAAACGAAAATTTGAAGAAATGAAAAATTGAAAAGTCGAATAAACGAAAAGTTTTAGAACCCAATAACTGGAAAAGGGAAAAAGTTTCAAATTTAAAAAAGTATTTAACATTATGACATATCTAAAGTGAAAACTAGACAAATTGCAAACCAAAAACTGAAAAAACGAAAAATTAAAAAATCATCTGTTGAAAAATTGTAAACGAAAAAATTGCAAATAAAAAATAATTGAAAAATTTCACATTGAAAAAAAAAATTAAAACCAAAAAAATTAAAAAATGAAAAAAGTAGGAAGCCGAAACGAAAAAGTACAATTCTAAAAATTGAAACATCGAAAAGTTGGAAAATCGAAAAACTGAAAAATTTAAAATTGAAAACTTGAAGTGGTGTATGTTGTGAAATTGAGTTGAATAAATGAAAACGTTTAAAATCCAATCATTGAAAAATGAAAAAATTCTAAAATCGTAAAAATGAAAACAAGTTTTTAAATTATTATTATTATTACATATTTAAAATGAAAACTAGAAAAATTGCGAATAAAAAACTGAGGAAACGAAAAATTAAAAAATCTAAAAGTTGAAAAAATTAGAAGAAGCAAATCGAAAAATTGAAAGATTTTACTTAAAAAAAAAGAAAAATAAAAAATTGAATAAATAAGAAAAAAAAATTGAAGAATTGCAAAATGTAAGAAATGAAAAAAAAAGGTTGGAAAATCGAAAAATTGAAAAATTGCAAATCGAAAAGTTGAAGACACGAAACATTGAAAAAAATAATTGAAAATACAAATAAATATAAAATCGGAACATCGAAAAATTCAAAAATTGAAAAACTTAAAAATCCATTGAAGAAACAAAAAAATTAGAAACTGAAAAATTACAAACCGAAAAATTGAAATTGGAAAAACAAAAAGTTATAAAATTGGAACATTGAAAATTCGAAAAATTGTAAAAGTAAAGAAAATAAAAACCGAAAGGAAAACTTGCAAATCGAAATTTTGAAGAAATGAAAAATTGAACATTCGAATAAATGAAAACGTTTTAAAACCCATTCACTGGAAAATGGAAAGTCTGAAATCGTAAAATTGAAAAAGTCGAAAATTTTTGAAATTATTGAACATATTCGAAGTGAAAACTAGACAGATTGCAAACCAAAAATCGAGAAAACAAAAAATTACAAAATCTAAGAATTGACAACCGAAAAATTACAAAATCAGAACATTTAAAAACCAAAAAAGTTAAAAAAACAAAAAAAATGGAAAGCGGAAACGAAGTGCAAATCGAAAAATTGCAAAATAATATAATAAATACATCGAAAAGTTGTAAAATCGGAAAACTGAAAAAATTAAAATTGAAAACTCAGTGTTGCATATCGTAAAATTGAGTCGAATAAATGAAAAAGTTTTAAAATCAAATCATTAAAAAATGAAAAAATTTTAAAATCCTAAAAATGATAATTAGAAAAATTGCGAATAAAAAATTTAAGAAACGAAAAATTAAAAAACCTAAAAGTTGAAAAAACTGAAAAAAAGCAAATTGAAAAATTGAGAAATCCAAAAATTGAAATATTTAACATTAAAAAAAAAGAAAAATTATAAAGTTAGAACATTGAAAACTCGAAAAATTGAAAAACTGATTTTTTTATAACTTTTCAAAGAAGCGGGATTTGTTGGGATAAGTTCAGGGTTGAGGAAAGTTCTGTCCGACCATTTTTTTCTTTCTGTAATTCTGGGTCCAACAGGCATATAATAAACTATCGGTTTCATTGTTAAGCATGTATATTCTTAATTGCTGCACCGATTAACGTAGTCTGTTCTTTCCAGAACCGGCAGCATAACCGAGGACGGCATCACCACCCGCTTCCGCGACGAGGCCCGCGAGTCCTCCATCTCCCGCCGCGACTCCCTCTCCCGCGACTCCGGCATAAGCTCCATCCGCGAAAACTCCATATCGGATTTCTCCCGCCGCGACGGTTCCGTCTCCCGCGAGAACTCCCGCCTCTCCGCCATCAACGTCCTCGACTCCGTCGCCGAGCTGCGCAGCAAGTACTCGCCGGCGAACTACGTGCCGTCGTGCCTCCGCGAACGCAACGAGAACATCTCCAGGTCGAAGTCGATAAACGACATCGGCCTGCCGCCGATCGAGCCCAAGCTCGGCCCGAAGAAGAAGGTAAATGACAGTTTGAATTACAATAACAGCCTTGGTGTGAGCCCTAACCCTACTAACGATAACATGAAAATAAGCGACGAGGACGATAACGGCAACCGCGCCTCCGTGGCCGACCTGCGCAAGAAGTTCGACGAGAAGCCGTCGCGCGCCGCCCGCTCGCCGCCGATCGAGATCGAGGGGGCGGCGAAGATCTCCGAGAACCGGTTCAAGAAGCAGGACAAGAAGAAGAAGGAGCGCAGGGAGTCGAGCGGGCGTCTGTCGGACGCGTCGAATTGTGACAGTTCGGCGACTTCAAAATTGGACGTGAACGAATCGGTCAAGAATGGGCTCAAGCAGGAGGACGACGAAAACGGAGAAGTGAGGAAGAGCACGAGGGTGAACAATTTCGCGTCGTACATACCGGCGAAGGACTACCAGAAGGGGGAGGTGAAGAACGGCGGGGACGACCTGGTCAACGGAGAGACGGAGCAAGGGGACGAGAGCAGCACGGACCTAATCGGAAGGAAGTTCGCTGTAAGTGCGCGGTTCGACTAACTCACTAATTTTGAGGATGCGTTGAGTTATAGCATTAACACGACAGATTTTAACGCGATCAGAGGGGCACTCTGACCACGAGACAAACTGTCCCCAAAAATATACAGGGTGAGTCGGATTGAGTGAATTCAGTCTTGAACGTACGTTTTCATCGTGTAGCGGCGATGGCGGACGGCGTTTTCAATACCTCGGGGATGTGGGACGAGAAGGCAGCCAGGTTCTATCAGAAAGTGTGCTGGTCCTCGCCATTCAGAAAACGAATGAACAGGTGGAAGACGGAGAGGAAGCGAGGCTCGAAGAGCAAGGTCAAAAAGATGGGAGTTAAGGGAAGAGCGATCCGGAGGAGAGCGGCGGCGATGAGGGGCAGAACGGTGCAGAGGAGGACGACGTCGGCGAGGAGGAGAATCGTGCCGAGGAGAGCGAGAAGCAGGAAGAGAAGAGTGCGAATCGGGAGGACGAGGACGATCAGACTGAGGAGTGCGAGCAGGAGCGGAACTGATACCGCGAGGACTGGGAGTAGAAGCAGAAGCAAAAGCGCAACCAGTTCGAATAGATGGAGCTCCAGATCACAATCCAGATCACAGTCCAGATCAAAATCCAGATCAAACTCGAGAAGAAAAGTGTGTGAAAGTAGTGATGATTAGACTACGTATTATGTTATTAAAATTTTTGTTATAAAGACTGATTCACTTGGCTGACTCACTCTGTATATTTTTTTGGGGCGAGGGGGGGCTGTTGTGACGTCGTTTTATACAAGCTTTTGTTTTTTGACAAGACTCCTCTTGGTATCACGAGGAATGTGCACCATTTTTGTTGTTTTTTGATTTTTTTTTAAGAATGTACCCCGATTTCACTATTATTTTTTTTTTTAATCGACAAAGGGAAATACAACACACCCTTAAATCGTAGACACAAAGTCGACAACGTTCTTGACTGATTTTTCTGTCGATTTTTCGTTTTATTACATTTTTTTTTTCCAAGTGTGAGTCAGCACAGGTGGGTCAGTTGCTCGACTCACGTTCAAAATTCCCCGTTCTGATATTAGGGTGCGTGGCTCTGGGATAATAAATTGGACCGATTCTATCAGCAAGTTTGTTGGTCGTCACCGTTTCGCAAAACGTTTCGTTACAAATGGGGCGATGTTGAAAATAAAAACGGCGAACGTGAAAAAGACGACCCGCCTACTAATAGTACGAATAGTAACGAATCGAGAAATGTAAGTGGTAGAAGAGCCAGAAGCAGAACGAGAAAAGTCGGAAAAGCAATGAATAAAAGATAGTCAGGCGGAATTGGCGTAGCAAGGTGGATATCGAGGAGCGGAAAAGCGCAACGCACGATTGAAATAATGTATTTTGTTATAAAGAAATGCTCATTTTGTTGACTCACTCTGTATATTTGCGTGGAGGTGGGACAGGAATAACGTTTTTTAAAAATATTACACAGTCGCCGTTTTAAATAATGTAATCAAATAATAAAAAGTCCACTTGTCTTTCACAACAGTGTTATACCGGATGATTTTTTGATTTGTGGTCTAGTTAGTCTGAATATGGGTTATCTTTGGCCGAATTTACAAAGCTAGGTTATGTTATATCAACAAGAATTAAACCTGTTTTCTCCAAATCATACACCTTGTGAAATGTACACAGTTCTCTACTTAGTTCGTAATAGCTTATCTAAAGTGGATGGGTGCGGTACAAATTTAAATACAAAGAAAATCAAAACTTATCAGGACTTCAAATTATAGGCTTGTATTTGAATACAGTCATCCGGGCCTTCACAGAATATTAGTCCAAAGGTCAGACTGCACATCTGCGCTAGCCCGGTTGCCACATTCCTAAAAAATGTTGAAAAATTAGACTGACTTGTGTTCATCTGAAATTTGTACTCCCGAAGTTATTAGTCGTATTAAATTAATTAACTATACAGTAACGAAAATTTCGTGGCACTATACTACAGCAGTAAAACGATGACAATCTCCATGATATTAAATAAAAATCAATTTAATATAATTACAATCACATCGCTCTGTACACACTTCGCTGTGAGAGGAGTGCCCGAGAATAAATATTCAATTTCAGGTTCACATAAATATTAGTCGGATAAAATTAATTAACTATACAGTAACGAAAATTTCGTGGCACCATACTACAACAGTGAAACGATGACAATCTCCATGATATTAAATTAAAATCGATTTAATATAATTACAATCACATCGCTCTGTACACACTTCGCTGTGAGAGGAGTGCCCGAGAATAAATATTCAAATTCAGGTTCACATAAATAATATTAGTCGGATAAAATTAATTAACTATACAGTAACGAAAATTTCGTGGCACCATACTACAACAGTAAAACGATGACAATCTCCATGATATTAAATTAAAATCAATTTAATACAATTACAATCACATCGCTCTGTACACACTTCGCTGTGAGAGTAGTGCCCGAGAATAAATATTCAAATTCAGGTTCCCATAAATAAATGCGTGTTAAATACGATCGAAATCACAATAACGTCGTTCGGTACACACTTCGCTGTGAGAGAAGTGCCCGAGAATAAATATTCAAAATTCAGGCCGTAACACAGGTTGACTTTTGTTACTAATCATTTTTCAAAGCGCGTCACTGTTTATAATTACATATTGTATACTGCAAATTACTATTTTATTCCAAAATGAGAATCTAGGAAATTTAAATAATAACTTAGGAAAAACCATCCATCCCTTTAGACGTATCACAATTTAAATATTATCGTACAAAAAAATATTGAATTTCTAGTGATTTCGAGAAATAAAACAACAATTTTTATAGATTTTATCACTAAAAAATGTTAAATTGACAAGATCATTGTTCATTGTTTGATTGAACCAGTAACAAGAAATCATTCTTTTTCATAATTATACCACCAATTTGTAGGAAAACAATATCAGGTCCGTTTTAACAATTTTCTGACAAGTAAACTTACTGCGAAAGCGTTCGTAAATATTTATCTCAGAGGGACGATTTACGTAATTTGGTCACATAATGGGCAGCGAAAACTAGATCACAAATTTTAAAAAATCACACGGTACATACAATGATATTAAAAAAAAGTATATATACAAAAATGAAATAAATCACTGAAATACTATTCGAAAATGATGCTGGATACAAATACTGAGTATAATTTCTTTTTTGTGTGTTTTCTTCTGTGTTCTGAGTTTCCATTTGTTGGTTTTCTATTTCGATTCTTCGTATGACAGTACTCGGATTTGGTTATATTTATTTTAAGACCTTCCTTCTTCTTTATAGTGCCCAAACACACTCATCGTGTATTATTTTGGGAGCCCATGGAGATTTTTTTTTATAAATTAATTAAAATAATATTGGGAGATTTTGATGTTCTATTTTTGGAAAATTCTGACCTGACCTGTTTATGAGTTAATTTTGCGAGCCTGTTTTTTTTTTGAAAATTTAAAACCCACCTCTGTTTTCTTAGAGGGTATCTCATTTGCCAAAATCAGTCTTATCTTAGCAGGTACTAGCCCCGCCCACCCACCCTCTCTTTTCTTAGAGGGTATGTTATTTGCCAAAATCAGTTTTATCCTAGCAAGTACTGATGACTAGCTTCTACAAAAAATGATTTTTCTTTTGTTGGTTTTGTTTCTCTTTATAATTTATAGATGTCTTGTTAAATGTTTTTTTTTTATTGATTAATGTCTACTAGTTGTTATGGTTATTGTCCTAAAAAAAAAATAAAAGGTGGATCAGTCACCATCGTTACTAAGAAATCAGACAGTAAGCCGGAGGTGTCCACGCATTAAGTGTGTACAATGTTAGCAATTTTACTTTTATAAAGTTACGTTTTTTTTTTCATAATCTACATCATAAAGAATTTTTTTATTATTTTTTTGGGACTCCCGAAACCCCCGTACATAACGTACTGAAGAGTTTCCAGACGCCCGGTATAATTTATCGTTAGCTATTGTTATTCCCCTATTTTGACATAGACTGTTCCCTTTTTTTAAAGTTTGATTTAAATATATGTGATTATCGAAGTCCTTTATTAACTACGAATTCTTCTTAAATCATCTTATCGTTTTTATTCTGTTTTATTTGATACAACCTCTTAACTTTTTTTGTTTGACCACATTTACTACAAATCCCTTACTTCTTCCTTTCACGATTTCTAATCATTTCTTTAATTTATTTTTCCGACTAAGTTGTCACCCGCATATCAAACTTTCTTCATTACCCCCACCTGTAGTTTGCTAAACACATCTTCAAGATCTTCCATATAAGTAGCGAAAAAACTTGGGCTCAATGGTCACCTCTGTCTTCCCCCTTTTTCGTATCAAAATTTCCACGATTTCCCATTCATTCTTACATTAATCGTTGTGTTTTTGTACAGTTCCTTGATATAGTTCATATTTAGCAAAGTTATTCCTCTATAGTTTTCCGTCTTTTCTTTATTTCCCTTGTAAATCTGACAACTCCTTCATAATTTCTATTATTTAAAGTGCCTTCAGCCACGCTTCATTTGGAATCCCATCATTCCCCACTGCCTTTCTCTTTTTTACTTTCGTCTTTTTCTTTTATTTCAGTCATTTCTTGTTTTTCTGTACTCGCTCCCAGCAACTCCATGAAATTTTTTATTTTTATTAATGTATTTCCAGACTTCTTTCTCTGATTTAATTTCCTTTATCCACTCATTTCTATATGTTCCTCTGATTCTGAGGAACTTTTGTTTCGGCTTCTAGACTTCTCTAGATCACCCATTTGCGACTTCCGCTTCCATGAGTCATCGGCGATTATTTCGTAACTATCTTCTTTGTTTCTCTTTCTAAGGCATAACGTTCCCCATTCCACCAGTCATTTTTTTCTGTGTTCTTAAAAAGGGACTTGCTAGAGGTGGTATAACAATTTTTTCCCTTTTTTAATGATAAAATGATATTAATATAGATGTATTATACATCAAATTGCAGCTTTTTTATGTT